TGTACTCTAGATGGAAAATCTCATTTTGTATGCTGTAATGATGTACAGTGAATGAATGCAAATAAATAAATTGGGAAAAAAATAAAAATAAAAAAAAAAGAAGTTTATGCTATTGGGCACATGCACTCGCCAGACTGAGAGAGACAGAGACAGAGAGCAAGAAATCACCTCCCAGGGGGGATGACCACGCCACAGTCCCTTCTCCTCCATTCTCCTCTCAGGATATTGGGCACGTACGCACGCACGGCCAGCCTGAGTTTTTTAAGCCACCAAGTCCGGGACGCGAACTGCGGCCGACTACATGGGAGTCCAGTGACATAGCCTTACGCTAGCTGCTGGTCCTAGCGCTTTATGTATCTTATACTTCTTATACTGCCTTCACATTTAGGACATTAATATAGTAAGAAATATATGGTGCATTCTAACACATCAGGCCATCCCTTTTGTGTACATTTGTGACGTGAACTTGTCATTAATTCAAGGTTAGCAAGCAGTGGTTCTTCAGGATACTAAGGTGGAGATGACAGTGGTCTAGACCCCAAAGATATATGATCCATAACCAGCAGGTAGCTAATGATTTTCAGAGACACAAATTTAGTAACATGGGAGTTACAGGAAAGTAAGAAATTAATCCTCATGGGGCCAGCAAATGGCGTGGTAATTAAGGGCACTGGACTCCCACATGAACTACCGTGGTTTGAGCCCCAGACATGGCAGCTTGCTTTTTCACTTTCTTTCTCTCTCTCTCACTCTGTCCTTTTCTGGTCAAATTAAAATAAATAAGTGGATAAATAAAGTTAAATGAAATAATTCTTAAAAAAAAAAAATTAATCCTCGCTAGGAGATTTGGGAGGTTTCTTAGAAGAGTAGTTACAGCTGGGATTTGAAAATCAGTGGGGGACCAGCAGGTAGCATGGTGGTTAAGGGCGCTGGATTCCCACATGGCTGACTGCAGTTTGAGTCCCAGACCTGGCAGCTTGCTTTCTCACTTTCCTTCCTCTCTCTCTCCCTCTCTCGTCAAATTTAAATAAATAAATAAAATTAAGTAAAATAATTTAAAAAGAAAAAAGGAAAATGAGTAGAACTTCACCACGTAGATGTAAAATGGAACGTATTTCTTACACACTCATAGACACCTGCGTGTCATTGATTTTTCAGGTCCCTATTTTGCTCTTACCCACAGAAATGCTTCTGAGGAAAGATCCTCAATCTGGTTGTCAGAATAAACATTTTGCTAATAGGTTCAGTTCAAGAGGTTGCTAGAGGAAGTCTCATCTAGTTTTTTGTTTGTTTGTTTAACATGTATGTGTGTATGTATTGTCATTTTCAAGCCACTGGGTTCAGGACTTGAACCATGGTCAGCCATATGGGAATCCACCTTAACCACCATGCCACTTGGTGGCCTGTCTCATCTAGTTTTAGGATAAGATCCATGAGCTAATATTAGGAAGTCTTTTATCTTACAGATAAGTGACCTGAGGCCTAGAGAGGGTAATTTCAGCCCAGCCAGCCCCATTGCCCCTGCTGGTGAGGCCAGTAGACATGCTTTGTCTAGAAAGTTCCCAGACCAAGCCAAGAAAGTGGTGTGAATTTCCCTCTATGATTCTGCTAAAAATAAAAGGTTGGCTGGTAAAAATAAAATGTTGCAAAGTGGACCAGAGAATACTTGTTTGTTTAAAAACATTGCTGTTTATTATTTATTTCACATATAATTAAAAAAAAAACTCCTTTAGAGAATATAATTTTGCATATAGTCAGGTAAACCACTTTTACTAATATAAGTAACTTACAAAGAGTATCAAGAGAAAACAAAACACCTTCAAAGCTTCTGTTCGGCAGATATTAAAATGGAGAAGAAGCTGGAAGATACTCATGAGATGCAGAAAAAGTCATTTCTTCTTTCTATCAAATGAAAAAGGCAACTAGAAACTGTGGGCCAAACAAAATAGCGTAGGAAATTTGCTCATATACGAAGCAAACTAAAATGTGGCATGATCTTGAGAAGTTGGCAAAATAAGACAGGATATTCTATTTGCAGTATTCTCCTTAAGTGATACCAGAGTCAAGATACTGGATCTGGGGGCCAGCAGGTGCCATGGTGGTTAAGGGTGCTGGACTCCCACATGGCCAACTGTGGTTCGAGTCCTGGACCTAGTGTCTTGCTTCCTCTCTCTATCTCTTTCTCTCTCTCTCTCTCTCTCTTCCCATCCCCTGCCTCTGGTCAAATTAAAATAAGTAAATAAATAAATAAAGTTAAATAATTCTTTTTAAAAAATACTGGATCTGAAAGAAAGGAATGATGCTCCATTGCAGTGAACATTATTTCCATAATTACTGTTGATTGACTTTTCAGCTTTTAGAATCTACTTACAGATAAAACAGGGAAGACAAACATGTTTGCAGTACAAGAGTGGAAATGCAATCAGTGTCAACAATGTACACGCAAAGTGGACAGAATTCGAAAGTTAGAAATGGGGAGGAGAGGAAGCTACAGCTGGGGTAATGGTTATATGGCTGGACTCGCACATAGTCATCCATGATTCGAGTCCTGGATCCATCCGCTTCAAATTCATACCGGACGCATGCGCAGGTGCGCCCAAAATCTTTAGAGGAGAATGGAGGAGAAGGGATTATGTCGTGGCCATTGCCCCTGGGGGGTGATTTCTCACTTTGTCTCTGCAGGGAGCGCACACGCCCTATAGCAAAAATCTCTCTTTAAAGAAGAAAAAAAGAAATGGGGAGGAGAGTGCACTGTGGGGTGCTCTCAGGCTCATCTCACATGATAGGAAGGAAGTTCAGATACAGCATAAAACCAATGAATGAGCTCTGGTTTTCAGCTTATTACTTAAGTTACAAATTTGGATAACTAATAGCAGAAAAATAGGGCCATCATACACTGGCAAGGGGAGAGGAGTAGTGGACAAATAAATACTAACTTTGGTAGAGGGCAGACATAGCTGTACACGACTGGACCCACACGGGAAAGTCTCAGTGTGCATCACGGGACCTCCTTGTGCACACCAGATACACACATATGTCCATGATACAAGCCAGCTGAGACTGGGGGTGGATTTCAGCAGAAAGACTCTGCTGGGGATGCTTTCCTCTCTTTCTCTCTCTCAGAAAACAAAGAAACTTATGGACCAGCAGGTAGCAAGGTGGTTAAAGTGCTAGATTCCCACATGGCCGACTGGGTTGATACCCATGCTGGTGCGCGTGCGCACTTGTGTGTGTGTGTGTGTGTGTGCTCATAATCCCAGGAGCAGCATAGAGGAGAAGGGATTGCTGCGTGGCCATCCCTCTGAGGGGTGGTTTCTCACTGTTTCTGGTAAACACACGGGTCCTGTGGCAAACAACAACAGCAACAACAAAAAACTTAAAAGAAAAAAAAAAGAAAGAAACTTAAAAAAATATAACTAGAAGGACTGGAAAGGGAGAGGAAGTAGTATAGATTAAATAAGTTTTCAGAATAAGCGATCTAGAGAAATAGCGATGTAAGTATGAGTTACAAAGATAGTCACCAGAACTGCAGACAGAATTGATTCATTCTGGGAAGTAGTACCGGAAGTGAACAGAGGGGAAACAGAGGCACCATTGTAATGTCATGGAAGCAATTGCTTTGGTAGAGACATGGGGGAAAAAAGTGGTGTCAATCAGTAACATAATCTATTCAAAGGGAAAACATGACAATCAGAGATATCCTAGTGAGTTCTAGCTGTCTAGTTTTCTTTTTTTCTTTCCTTTTTTTTTTTTGGAGAAGTGTTTTGCTATAGGGCACATGTGTTTGCCAGAAGGACAGAGATAGACAGAGAGCAAGAAATCACCCCCCTGGGGGATGGCCACACTGCAATCCCTTCTCCTCCATTCTCCTCTTGGGATCTTGGGCACGTACGCGCACATGCCCTATGTGAGTTTAAGCCGCCAGGCCCAGGACTTGAACTGCGGTCAACTACATGGGAATCCAGCGACATGGTCATTATGCTAATGCTGGTCCCTAGCTGTTTAGTTTTAGAAGTCAGAGGCAGAGAATGACTTCAGTGATGGGAAAATACTAAGTGTGATTGCAGATATTTGATCATTTAAATGTTAAAATAAAGTCTGTCAGCATTTTAAACCTTTCTAAATTTGCCCTTATAGAGAGTGGGAGGAAATAGCTCAACTCTGCTATAAACATTTGATTGCCCTTCTTCTTCATAGCGATCTTGGAATGTTTATTTATTTGTTTATTTATAAATTGGTTTTAGTTTTTTAAAAATGAACTAGGTTCTTTTTTAAAAAAAGAACAAAGTTCTTCTCAAAGGTGTAAGATTCTCGAATGATCTAGAACTTACTTTTTTTAAAAAAATAATTGTTTTTATTTAATTTTACTTATTCATTTATTTTTTTAATTTGACCAGAGAGAGAGAGACAGAACGTGAGAGAGCAAGCCACCAGGTCTGGGACTTGAACCATGATCAGCCATGTGGGAGTGTCCAGCACCTTACACCCCTTACACCACCACATCACCTGCTGGCCCCCTTCAAGCTTACTCTTTTTTTTTAAATAATTATTTTCATTTAACTTTATTTATGTATTTTAATTTGAAGAGAGAGAGAGATAGAAAGAAAGAAAGCCTCCAGGTCTGGAATTCAAACCACAGTCTGCCATGTGGGAGTCCAGCATCCTTAACCACCACGCCACCTGCCGGCCCCAAGCTTACTCATAAAACAGTTAAGTTCTTGGCCTGTGCAGAATTTTCACTTACTTTTTTCCTCATTAGAACACACCTCTGATTCTGAAAAGTGACATTTATTATACATTAGCTTTGTACAGGTCCATTTCCAAGGTCCAGGTGCGTAGGCTGCAGGGTCACACACCACCAGGTTGTGTAGCTGTAGTCCTTCCTGGGGTACTGGCCAGGGTGTGGAGCTGGGAGGGCTGCCTTGCGGTGCCAGGTGTCTGTGTGCCATCCTGTGGTCGAGATCCTAAATTAGAGCATCTCTTTATTTTCTTCTCTCTAGGAAGGCCCTTTTGTCTACTTGTCTTTAGTAGGGAACGTTGCGGATTCCGAAGGCTTGATTGCTTCTTTGTGTAAGTAATTAAAAATGTTGGCATGTGAGATGTTTGAAGACATTAATTACAAGTGTGGCTGTCAATTAAATGAATGCCTGTATCACATATTGTGTAATTTCATTTATATGAAATGTCCAGAGTGGGTGAAGATGAGGCAGCATTTGGGGAGATAATGTTCTAAAAGTAGATTGTGGTGGCTCATTCTGTGAATATACTAGAACCTCTTCTTTGAACAGGTAAGTTATATGTCATTAGAATTATCTAAAACAAAAACTATATGTTAAAAACTGTTTTTAGTGAGTTCAGATATTTAAACTGTTCTTTGTTTCTTTGTTTGTTTTTTTACATTTTTGCTTGAGGACACATGAACTCACCAGAGAGAGAGACAGAGAGAAAGAGGTAAAAGTAGGAAAGCATCTCCCCCAGTGGGATATGGCATGTCTCAGGCCCGTCTCTCCTTCTCTTCTCAGGATTTTGGCATGCATGAAAATGCTCTGGTATGTTTTTGTAGCATCTCCATTTCTCCTCTCAGGATTTTGGCTTGCATGAAAATGCTCTGGTATGTTTTTGTAGCCAGAGTCCGGGACTCGAACTGTGCAGTCGGCCATGTGGGATCCAGCCACCTTAATCACTGTGCTACCAGCTGGCCCCAAACTGGGTGTTTCCTTTTGTTCTTTCGGTATCAACTTTCTTTTTATTGAATTGTAGCTACATAGCTGTAGTTTCTTAGATAATTTCCAAAACTCTTGGGACCAGCAGGAAACATAGTGGTTAAGGAACTGGACTCCCATGTGGCCAACTGCAGTTTGAGTCCCAGAACCAGCAGCATGGAACTCACACCAGGTCTGTGAGTGTGTGTGTGTGTCCAGAATCCCAAAAGGAGAATGGAGGAGACAGTATTATGGCATGGCCATCTCCCCTGGAGAAGAGATTTCTCGCTTTCTGTCTCTGTATCTGTGTCTGGCACACACCCTAGTTTAAAAAAAAAAAAATCTGTTTTAAAAAAATCTCCCAAACTCTTCATGCTCTGTAGAGATATCAACTAGCGTTCCCATCATACTCCCTGAAGGTCGGTCAGCTGTCACTAAAACAGTATGGACTGCCTGCCACGCGATGTGTCAGTACTGACGAATGAGTCATGGGGCAGCGTCTTTGCCACTTTCACAGAACTGCCGTGCAGCACAACTGCTTTCAGATTTTTGCCCTTATATTCTGTATTGTTTACCTCGTTTCTGACTAGAATCACATCCACTAGCCGGGATCTGGAAGGGGACTTCTGTTCATCCTAGTGTTAGGAAGGTTTTAGAGAATCAAGTCAGCTATAGTTTATGCTTCTGAAAACAAACACTCAGGGAGCTGAGCGTCAGGCCTGGCCTGTATGCAGCTGTCCACCTTTTTGGTGAGTGGCTGTGTTAGCCTTTGCTGGCAGATTGCTAACGAAGCCCGGAGGCTGAAGGACTGCAGCCTGAATCAGGGCTCTACCTTGGTAGGGTGCCTCTCATCCCCTTTGTCATAGGCCATGCTGACGCTCCCTACCCTGGCTGCCCTGCTTGGCATTCGAGAAAGTGAATGGCCCAGATCTGGCTTAGTCCCATGAAATGTGAACATCTAACATGGTCTTCCTCCATCATCTTCATATCTGCATTACTCACCATAAAGAAGTTGAAAACTCAGCCCAGCCATGAGAGCATGCTCTGCTAAGACCCCATACTCTGCAGGCTAGAACCACATGAGGTCTGGTTCTATTCCTGGTCTAACGTAAAGACTGGGCATGGTGGGGTGCACCTGCAGTTTGGGAAAATGGGGCAGGAGGATTGTGATGACAAGACACTATCTTAAAAACAAAAAGAGATGGGACCAGCAATTGGTGTAATCGCTATGTCACTGGACTCCCGTGTAGTCGACTGTGGTTCGAATCTCAGACCCAGTGGCTTAAACTCATGCCGGGCGTATGTGCATGTGGGCTCAAGATCCTGAGAGGAGGGAACCAGCAGTTAGCGTAATGGCTATGTCGCTGGACTCCCACTCAGTCGACCGCGGTTCGCATCCCGGACCCGGTGGCTTAAAACTCATGCCGGGCGAATGTGCGTGCGTGCCCAAGATCCCGAGAGGAGTAATGGAGGAAAAGGGATTGCGGCATGGCCATCCCCCCTGGGGGGTGATTTCTCGCTTTCTGTCTCTATGTCTCTCTCTGTCTGTCTGGCGAGCGCACATGCCCTATAGTGAAAACCTCTCCCCTCCCCCCCCAAAAAAAAAAGATCCTGAGAGGAGAATGGAGGAGAAGGGATGGCCATCCTCCCTGGGGGGTGATTTCTCACTTCTGTCTCTCTCTGTCTTTCTGGCAAGCATACATCCTATAGCAAAAACCTCTCCAAAAAAAAAAACAGAGAAAGAAAAATAAGTGAAACTCATTTAATGTTCCTTTGTCTCATGAAAATAAAAATCGAATAGATAATGTAAAACAAACTCACATAATCAAACTTTTTAATGCTCCCATTTGCCCTTTATTGCCCAGTTATTTGACAGGCAAAGAGGCCCAGCCAGTGGTGTAGTGATTAAGACTCTGGATCACACGTGGCTTACTGCATATTTTGAATGCCAGGCCCAGCAACTAGAGAAAACACCAAGCACATGTGCATATGTGACCAAAATCCCAAAAGGAGGAAGTGATGAAGGAGAAGGAATTACAGTATGGCCATCTTCCCCACCCCCCCAAAGGATGCTTTCTCACTTTCTCTCTTTGGCTCGCTCACTGGTGAGTGCACATGCCCTCTGACGAATTACGCACAAACACACACAAAAAGAGCAAGCAAAGAGCTGGTCAGCGTCACCCAGGTGAGAAGGAGATGCCACGACGTGATGCTCTGGGACCGGTGGCTAGCAGGGCTTTCACTGTCCACATCTGCCGTGCTCTCCCGCGTTAACCTCGACTCTCACACGCTGTCTTCTTCAGTCTTGCTGAGTGACCTTCAGACATACCATGTGCTCTCAGCACCAGGCCTTGCACATGCTTGTCCCTGAAACACCCGCAATTTAGGAATCCTCTCTTGTGGTGTAAGGACAGAAATAGAGATTCAATATGCATGCCTTGACATCCACAGGTCTGCAAGGCCTCAAGTGGCCTAACTGCAAGTCTCTCTCCCCTCCCCATTCTGCTTCAGCATTTAAAGGCAAACAACGTCCTGGTCACAGCTCCCAGGTACCGTGCGTGGTGCAGTGTCCTCCTTCCCGGGCAGTGGGCGTGTATGACTAATGAACTGGAATCTATCTCAGCCGTCTGGGGTCAGGGCCTGAATGCTCTGTCATCTCCAGCATCATCCCCAACAGGG